GAAGAGAGGCTCGTCGCTGACGTGCCATTGGCGGCGAGAGGCGGAGGCATGAAAGCACATTCTGGGCATGGCTGGTCACTCGTTGGCTGGTCTGCACTCGGCGCTCACTCGCAGGCGCACAACCTTCACGACCAGACTGAACGAGACACCGTTGCACAAGCTCATGCACACGCACAGGCGGCATTCAGGCATGTCAAGACGAGTCAAACTGACCGAGTCGAGTCGAGTCGGAAGCGAGGCCTACGAGGAGCTAAGTTAGCGTATGCGTGTGTGTGTGTGTGTGTGTGTGTGTGTGTGTGTGTGTGTGTGTGTGAGGGAGAGAGAGGAGACCATCAAAGAGGCGAGGCCTCGTCCAGCCTGCGCACGGGGGCCACGGGCCTGTCTGAAAGGTGAGACTGGCTGCGCGGGTGGGTGTGCGCATGTGTGCGTCCGTGTGTATATGTGCGAGCGGCTGCGAGTGTGTGTCACGACGAGGGCTGGCTGGCTGGCGGGCCGTGCGAGTAAAGGGATGAACGAACGCAAGAAGAGAGAGAGAGAGAGAGACGGAGGGGGCTCGGCTGCAGCCGGGCTCTGTGCCGGCGTCTCTGACCTTGCCGCTTACGTCGGCGTGTCTGTGTGCGAGGTGTGGCGCCCGAATGACTGTCCGACTGTGTGTGTGTGTGTACGCCCAGTCGGAAGGAGGTTAGTTGAAATGGTAAACGAGAAGCGACTGGCTCGACAATTCACCGGCTCCGCATTCTGCCTCGGACAGCTTGTCTGCCCAGCGTTAGATTGTTACATCTCACACGTTGTCATGGCTCGACAGCTTTGGGCGCAGAGATCACGTGATTGTAAGACTAATCTTCACTCTTTACGTCGCGTCGACCAATCAAAGCTTGACACTGCATCGTCCAGGCATAAGTTGCCATGGGAAACTAATCAAGGGTATATCAAGTAGCTCACATCCTCTTTGGTTGGTCACGCTTTCTTGCTTCTCTTTCTCCCCTCCGCCATGACACGCACATTTCAGACTTTTCTATTTCACGCCGCCTTTAAATGACTTTTTTTTTCTAGTCTGCCTCTCATGCTGCATTGAGGCGTCTATAAATGGGACACTTGCTAACACAATTTTTATTTTCTCTTTTCGTTTCGGGGCTCAAATTTTAGAGTTTTAGAGCTCAAGCGTTTTACAGTTTAGAGATAGTCTACGTCCTCTTTGGAACACTAAAACTATACCTATACGAGTACTACGAGAGAACATGAAATCCGAGGCATCGAATTATGCTAGAAGAAGAATGGACTCGATAATAAATAGTGCTTAAATAACGAGTCAATTCGTAATTTCCTGTAGTTTCATGAAAAATAAATTAGGCTACTTCTTAAAAGAATTTATTTTCATAAGTATGCAACGCTGCAAATCATCATTCAAGCCTAATGTATGCAATACATTTAAATATAAAGAAGGCGTAGTTTTTCTTATTGTTGCATTTCTAAGAATTTGATAAATATATTGAATATTTGTATAAACTAATAGAAAGATAGGAAATAGTTGGTTTGGGGTTGCACATTGTTTCCCGGTGGGTTCCCTACGACTAAGAGGGCAATATAACAATCCACTCCATTGGTTATTGTCAGTACTTATTTTGAGAAATGCTGCATTTGTCCTAATTTTGATAGTAGCTCTTGAAGAGCAACGACTATCTCTTAGTGTCGGAGACATTTAAGTAGTATATAAACAAATGCGTATTAAAGTTATTGGGGATGCGCTGTTTTTTGCGCAATTTGTATAATAAGGAAATTTATTTGCTAATGCTTTTATTCATAAATTTGAATCTAACCTTCGAATGATTCTGTATGCTCTATTAACTT